GAAGAGCACGTAGCCCCTGAGTCAGAGAATCATGTCCAAAACCTAAGTATTAGCACAAACTGTTGGCAAAGTATATCCCGAAGCACGCATTAGCTGCACGCATCTTATCACCGCTTTTTCAGCTGCTGCAGCCTGTTCCTTCTTCTGTTCAGCCAACCAGCTCAGCCACGTTGTCGACAGATGTGACTAAAACGGTAGAAGTTTACGAGGCACTTCAGAGCAGTTTGTTTATTTCGATTTTTTGGATTTTATCGGATTACGAAACAACTGAAACTTCCCCTTCAACACCTACATACACATTTAGCAAAAATAATACTGCATGAAGAAGTTTTGAGAGTTACGAGCCCACACTGCTATTTGACACCACAGAAGACCACAAGGGAGAAAGGGGCTTGCTCACAGCATTCACAGGCACCACTACGATCCCAAGGACAGGTAAAATTCTTGAATTGTTAAAAGCTGCCACTACACAAAGCAATAATATTTGTTAGTTTTGCTTCTCACTTTGTAAACTAACACGTTCTCATTCACGTTAAATCGACATTACAAAGCACAGCAAAAGCAAAGCAAAGATGTTGCTAATTGCATCACAAGAACTTTACCCTCTGATCAACAACATTTCAAATGCTGGCAGCGTTTTGCATCAACTCCCGAGGTTGTACCAAACGTGAGCTCAGCCGAATCTTTGGGATTTGCAGGCCAAATTCCTGCTTTCCCAGCTTTTGCTCTTTGACTTTCGTAATTGCTCTGTGGATGCTGTTGGATGTAAGAATGCCAGCCTGAACTAGAAAGAGGAATTGGAAACAGTTTAAGTTATTCTCTGTGTGAATAATAAATCTCATAATCATGTTTTAAATGCCCCTCCTCACTGCTCGTGCAAAGACAGTTACAATCTCTGAGACAGAGTGATCTCCTGACTGTAAATGGGCTCTAAATCTCCAAAATTTAGAGGTAGGAATGTAGTAGGAGCAAGGAGTGTCACCTATTCAGTCACTCATAGTTTCACTCTGAAAATAGTAATCCTGCTCAGCAAGATACTTATTTTGGTGTCCATCGAACACAGACGCTGTGCTCTCCCTTACAGCAAGCCGACGCACTGTACCTGTTTCTCTTAGCGATGTAACATAAATGGCCATTTCAAAGGGCGTGTTTTGTGGCAGCATGTTCCAAATCCTCCTCTTCCGAGTCCATCTCCTGCTCTTTTTAAAGAGACAATTTCTGAATGCTTGTCACGAAACAGGCCCGTATGTCTGGCGATTGAAGCACGCCACATTCTTTTCCATAGCGGCATAGGGACTCACTGAAGCAAAATGACTTGCGTGGACATGAAGAGCAGCAGCAGCAGCTTCTGAAACCACGTGGTGTGGATGTATTGAAGAGGAGTAAATCGGCCCCGTTCACTGGCTTTGGGGACAATCAAATCACCTTCCTGCCAGGTACGTGGTCATCCCCAAACTCTAAAGCACTGCCCCACTTTGTGCTTCAGGACTGGGGTCAGTTGACTGCTTCCATCAGGAATAATCCTATTTTGCAGCCTGTCCCCTCACCAGACCAGGTGTGTCAGGGATTCGCTCTCTCCTCCATCAAAGCACTGAGCCAGAACCCAAAGTGCAGAAGAACACACCTTTCTGAGCTGGGAAAAAGAAATGTATTTTATGACCTCCTGACAGCAGCAGTCAGAAGTTCAAAGCACACAAACGACAGGTTGCCCAGGAACTCAAGAGCAAGAATGAATTTTCTATATCAGATAGCCCCCTTTGTGCGTGACAGCCAGCATCTCTGCTGCCCAGGAAAAGGGTGCAAGGAAAATTTCAGCTCACTGACACGAAGCAGGAACACTCGCCCGCTGTCTGCCAGGGTTTAAGGGAGACGCAGGCAGAGAGGGGCATTTCCACCACCGAACCTCAAAGCAGGTGTTTTATGCCACATGAATCACTGAACAAAGGATGAACTCTTATTTCTGTTCAACACCAAAATGCAGGGAGGGATGCTTTTTTAAATACACCAAAAGGTGAGGAACAGACTCCAAATACAGCTGCAGACACTGAGTTTCACTTTTTTTAACGGTAGCGTGTTGAGTTTTCCATCACCATTTGCGGAGACACTAACATTTGAAGTCAATCCTGCACTCCACAGTTAATAAGAAGGCTCGTTTCTCTTTTGTCTTTATAAGAACAAATTTATATTGGTTATACCAACTGCAGAAGAGTGAGGTGCCTAATACTAAAGTACGTCCCTGAAACGATGGCTCCACAGTTAAGAAACTGAGAAATGAGCAACGCTGGATGGTTTTACCATTGATTATCGCTACCACTGCAGGCCAATGCAAAGTACAGGCTACAGCCACTAGTGTGTGAGCCTACTACAGCGTTTTACTCTTCCGTGTTTATCCAAACCACGCTTTTTAAACTACAAGATATCTCAGAAAAAAATCACACTCGTGATTGCAAAAACACACCAGACCAAGTATTCCACTCTTGGCACAAGCGGCGCTGACAGAGCTCAAGGGATCGCAGTGTTCGGGTTTTGTTGGATTCTTCGAGGAGCTATGTTGCGCTGGCTTGCTATCTGGTGCTACCGAAATCCCACTACCTTTCCAGAGAAAACAAATCCACAAGGATGCAAGCCACGCCAAGGAATCCCTGCCTCACTTGCAGAGTAAAGGGCAGGTTCTCCTTTGTGTCCACGAAGGGAGATGTTGCGACGTGGCTCCAGCAACAGCAAAACAAATCTCCGGTATTTAAAGAAGTTACAGGCAAATCAGTTAAATCCAATCAAGGCCCTCCCTGTGAGTAATTCATGAATAAAGATGACTTCAAACATAGCCACTGTCATAACAACCTCGTTTCAGAAGGCTAAGAATATAGTTGGCAAAAGCCATCATTACGCATCATTAACCAAGACTGGGGTGCCAACAGCTCCGGTAAGGCCAAGACATTGTCACGCTGGCACTGGAAATCAGTTTTAGAAACAAACTCTTACTAATACCTACAAGCATGTGCCAAAAAGAGGTAATTAGCATCTTGTTTCATTACTGCAAAAACAGAGAGATACTCTTGTTGTGAGGAGTGTGACAGGTATTTTACTGAAAGCCCTGGAGGCTAATCCGAGGAGCAGTTCTCCAGGAAGTCCGACCTACTCCATGATCAGCATAAATCAAATCAAAAGGGGTTAAAGCTTTTGTGTGAGTAACTTTAAGGGAGGCAAATACTCCACGTGCAGCTTAGGGCTGTAAACCTGCATTAAACTATTCTTGCACAGCCTGATTTCTGTACAAAGCCCCCAGCACTCACCTACATTTGAAATCCAATGCAGAGAAGGCACCACCTGCAGCAACCAGAACTACCACACATCATTTTCTTCATTGTGCTAAAATACACCTTACCTAAAATAGCTCCCATTTAAAAAAAAACCACAAAACTTATCACAAATTAACTGAACACAGGAGTCACCTCATTCCAGGAGCAGAGAATAATCCCTCAGTACTACATGCACGCAGAAGCGTGGATTTAGTCAGGCCAAAAAAACCTCTTAAATACAATCCCAGGGAAGCTTGGCTCGGCAGCTCAAACACGGCTGCTTTTCCAGGCTTGGGGTAAAAACAGCATAAAAAAGCAACAGCAACCTGATCTAAAGGTCACACAAGCCATGTAACCGCTTCTACTCAGGTTCCAGCATGTCTGAGCGATCAGGCAAAATGAACTTCACTCATTCTGGGACTCCTGCACACACTAACGCGGCTACTGGCATGCCATGGGCTTTCTCAATGCAATCAGGACACTCTGTCTGGAAAATCAGGAAAGAAAACAACTATTTGTTTTCAGAGAATCATTTAGATCACAAAGCAACTCCGGGAAAGAAAAGTTCGAGTCACATTTGAACACAGACTTGATGTGCTCCTTCTGCCTGAACAGCCGTGCAAAACTTCGCAGGCGCTGCTTCCACACCCAGTCACGCTGGGAGAACGGACAATGTTCTGGGACAAATTGTGTTTGACGGGCTAGGCTAGCTGGGAAGCACAAACCCAAGTGCTTTTCAAGACCTCTCACCAAGCCCAAGAAGCTATTCTAGGCAAAAAAACGGTGAGTAGGATAAAGTGTGATCTCCCCAGCACAAGAGACAGAAAGAGAACCCCATCACACTGCAATAAACACAAGAGTCTGAGTCACCAATTTAATTTTATACAAGTCAAACTACACGTTGTATAAAGAGTACAAGGCAGTTCTAATGTTTGCTATTGCATGTTACAAAAATCAATTTAGCTATAAAGGGGAATTTTTGGGATGAGTCCTATTCCACAATTTAAGTGAGTTGGCAACTGTGGTTTAGCAAAGCCTTTGTTAAGACTAGAACTCTAGCTCAAAGAGATTACATTACCGATAAAGTCCAGACTTACACACAAAAGGATTATAATTCTCCTAGTCTGAAGCAAAACGTTAACATAAATGAGTCAAAAGGGAGGGAAGACAGTTTTATTTACCTAGTTTTCGTCTCCAATAGGTATTTAGAGGCTGACAAACCATACAACATACTAGTGACTCGGACCACATCCGGGAGACACGTCAGTGTCCGGCAACAGCGACACTTGATATTCAAGCAAAAAAAGGTCAGAAAGCTTTCGTTCTTTCAAGTTTGAAACGCAGGAATTTTTTTCAGCAATACTGTACGATGCAGGTTCCAGAGTACCTTTATTACCTTTAATACAGTCACAGTACGGGGAGGGAGGGGGGGAATGTTCTTTTGGCAAGTTAAGGTACAACACAAATGCTCCAACTTGAGTTTATTGCTGGTCTAAAAATCTTAGTCTTGTTACTAATTTATACAGTTTGCAGCCTGCTTCCACAAATTAAGATAAACCAGAGTACGACCTGACCTGTCCAGCAAGGCAATCCTGCCTTTGGTTGCAAGCTGTAACCTATTATTATAAACTAATGATACCCATAGTTCTAAAACCATGAAAAAAAATAGGAAAACAACGATACTTTCAAAAAAGCCCAGTTTTAAGCCTGTTTATATATTTAGTTTATTTTTAATATAAAAACCACTTTGCCCTTGAGAGTAAAGTTACTCCTGCGGAAATGCTACAAAATCAAACTTTTAGCTGAATTTCTACAAAAGGGGGACTTTCCCTGCTTTGTACCACCATGCGATCTTTTATTGTCAAATTTGGGATACAAATTAAACCTTTATGACTCATTGCTTAGTTCTTAGGCCATTGACTCCTGCAAGAGAAAAAAACCCAACTTCTGAACTAACATAACATTAATGGCCTGACAAGTAGGAAAATGTTCCATAATAGTGTGCAACGTGAGAGGAGAGTTCTAGTTTTAATCTCTCGAACTAGATCTTGATCGTGAGCGAGATTTTGAGCGGGATCTGGAGCGGGACCTCGAAGCAGCTCTTTTGGGTGGTGACTCGGAGCGAGCCTTGGCAGACGGCTGCTGCTGCGGAGAATTGGAGCGAGACCTACTCCTTGACCTGGACTTAGACTTAGCATCTCCTTTACCATTTTCTTTGGGAGATCGAGACCTGGACCTGGATCTGGACCGAGACTTCTCGGACTTCTCCTTGGATCTGCTGTGAGAGCGTGAGCCCCGGTCGGACTTGGGTTTTGACTTGCTCTTTGATCTAGACTTCCTGCTTTTAGATCTGGAACGTGAGCGGTCTTTGCTTCGTGACCTGGATTTAGACCTTTCAAAAAGAGACAAAGAGTTCAATTATTCCACATGAAGTGTCCTTACAGCAGGTGTAAGCATCTGTCAAACAAAGAGTAACAATTCCTGCACCAACAGAAAACAAAAGTATCACTCACCTTGAGCGGCTTTTGGAGACACTACGGGATCTGCTCCGGCTGCTCCGACTTCTACGACTTCTGCTTCTAGACCTCCTTCTAGATCGTGACCTAGAAACATTTGAGATGTAGTATTTACTTTATTCTTTGTTTGGTGTGCCCTGCTACACTATCAAACAGAGAAAGGCTGCTAAAGAACTTCTCAAGACCAAGGATGGCCAAATTAAGACGTATGATTAATCCACCCAGGTTCGATGTGCTGTCTCCATGAATTACACCTGATGTTCCACATGTGAAAAACCCTCAAGCCTGGCTTTGCTGCATCACGTTAAATAATTCCTTCTAGGTTCTCCTACGTCTAAAATATCAACTGAAGGCACCTGCTCCAGCTGGGGCTACTTACACCCGTTCTTTGGCATAAGCGGTCTCGACACAGAGACCGACACGACCCAGAAGTTACCTTGACCTGCTGCCAGAGTACGATCGCCTGTGGCTTGACCGTGGCTTGTCTTCCACCAGCCTGATCTTCCTCCCGTTTATCTCTGTGCCGTCCAGTTTGTCCAGGGCACGCTTCATGTCCGAGTACGAGCGGAACTCGATCACTCCTTCATTTGTACGCTCTTTGTGAGCATCTGCATAGGTTACCTCCCCAGCTTGCCTCATGAAATCCTTCAGGGAACAAGCAGACGAGAAGTTACGTAACCATTCCGCGTGCTTACGCTCCACGCGAGTGCATTAGCTTAAGACGAGTCTGAGCAAACACAAGAAGCATTAATTGCATGTCGACAGTCGAAAAAAAAATACTTCTCAATCACTTCTGCCTAAATCAAAATGAACATCGATATTAAGGGAAGCTACCGCTTCCTGCTGGTCACAACAGGCCCCGCGGTGGAACATTAATACGTACTTTCAAATCCTGCCAACTACAGCGACTGGAAAGGTTTTCAACAATCAGTCTGAACTCTGTACGAACAGGCGGTCCATATTTATCTCTTCCAGATTGTCTCCGACTGCTATATCCGCCACCACCCCCACCTTGATTGTACAAAGAAACAAAGTTAGGTCGTCTCCTAGCATGAAGGAAATTAAACGTTCTGAAAAAGTTAGTTAAACAGTTATATTTACTGGAGTAGGACTTTATTTCTCTAAGCCTCCAATAAACTTTGCAATTTTGCCAGGATCTATATTAATGGCAAATCAAACAGACTAAAATCCTACAAGTCTGTGCTCCTCTAAGATCTGTTAGAGAGTGACTGCTCCTTATTAGATTCACCTTGCTAAGTTTTATTTTACAGAACATTGTAAAATATAAAACTTAACTGATTACATGCATTTCTACATTTTACAAAAACGTTTACTAGTTACACTAAGTACTTACATCACAGTATGAGGTTTTTGGTGGTGGTTTGGCCACAAAACACGCAAGGTAACAGTCACCTAGTTCAGTTTAACCAGTTTTGTCTAACCCTTGGAATCCTCACCATCACCCTGCGTCTAATGGCAAAAGGCTGCTGTCGTCATGGCTTCCGGTAAGGTCAGCCAAAGGGTCATAGGGCAAGGGTCACACAATGTATGGAAAAGCCATGGCCAATCAGGAAAGGCAGTCATCTTAGCCTCAGTGGACACAGCCTCAGCCCCACTGGTCACTTTTAAATTGAAACATCAAGGACTTGTTAAAAAAGTTGGAATTGAACATGCAACAATTTTCAAACAACATAACATTTGATTCTTTTTAAAAACAAGACCGAAATCCCGCCCCACCCCAACACCGAGCTTCTAGAGATTGCTGCGAGGCGAACCTCCGTACCTTCAGTTACGGTACGAGGCCGGTTAAGTTCTACGCAGCTCAGCTCAAGGAGCTTTGCAAGTCAGCCGAACATAGAAATATTTCCAAAATCCCCCACTCAGCACAACAGATTCCTGCTCGAAAACCTCCCCCCACCCCTTCCACACAGTCATCCGAAACATTCAAATGGAAGTTCAGAGCTGAGTGCTTCCACCCCCATTACGCAACGGCATTTATTCATTAACGTTAGTGATGCAACATCACCGTTTCATCTAAATGCTCCAGAGCACGCTGCAGCCCTTAAATTAGCAGAGCATATCGTTTCTAATTAACGAGAGACCCTCTTCTAGAACGCCGCAATTCTGCGCCCAGAACTGCTTCGCCTTATCTGCCCTCCTAAGTTTCTGGGGCAGTATCTGAGTGCAAGGCCGGGGCCAGGCAAAACGCCTGCGGCCCCTCCCTGGGCAGGCAGAGAGCTCGCTCCC